TGGCCCATATTTGATTTTCTTGATCTGAGCTAATCAGTGCCATAGCTTTAAAAACTTAATGGAATTGTTATCTGGCATTTCATACGACAAAACTAGAGGTGCTAGGTTTTGTGTAAAAATGTCAAGCACATTTCCAGCAGTTTCATAAAAATGTGCAATGGCATTGTTAATGATTAAAAAATTGTTTACAAATCTAAAGACATGGGTGACATAGATTTTTCAATACATTTGATGATCTTCCTGTCGAGCATAGCTAAAACAGGTAACTAAGGACAGGGACAATACATGACCTAATGCAAATACTGCACTTTATCAGGTAAACACTTTTGTTTATAGTTGCAAAAGTAGACCGCAGTTACATGTCAACTAACTCTAAGAAACCATTTACAAGCACTCTGCTACTAATTTTAAACGAAATGGCCCCTAAAGTGTCGTTAGCGCATCCTGGACTATTGAGTTGAACAGATCCTTTATGTCTATTGAAAATTCCGACACATTTGCATCCTTATGGTGCCAGAAGTACTTGGCAAACTGTGCACTATTTTTTACTAAGAATAGGTCTTCTATTTTTAGTAAGGAAAGCTTGTCTTGTGAAAACAAAGCTAGACATTTTTCCAGGTTCACTTTTCTTAAATAATAACCAGAAGGGGGCATACAACTTAACAGTCCCAAGATGAGTTCTTTTTATCCTAAATTGTCCGACAAGTGAAAGCATTTCTAAGTGCTTACAAAATTTCATAGCGAGTGGTTTAGCTTTTTTGAGACTTGCTGGGTCTATTCTATTGAAGTTGCTATTGACAGCATCGGTAGCTTTTCCTCGGAAGATATCATTTGGGAAAACGGCAACATCACCCTCTTTATTGGAGGAGAGTATACAAAGGTAGTTACTGCACAAATAGTCTCACACTGTTTTGAACGGCACTTTGCGACAGGAGCGTATAGCGGTGGTATCCACCCCCTGTGAAATACAACAGTTCCTTTCATCCTCCAGTGCCAATCTTGGCACTTTTCGCACCATTGCCAGCACTTCTAATGCATTTCGTTTGGGTTCAACAGCAGACTTTGGTCGACGCTGGAGGGTGTGACAATTGTCTGTCGAAATTACCATGCCTCCTTAAATTTGGACAGGGTTGCAAGGCCTCACCTTGAGACCCTGTCCACATCGCAAGCTGTGGTAGCGAAATATGCCAAATACCCTCAGTCACTTGGTCAATAGTCCTGCGGTAACGCTATCACAATCTCCAATGCCGAAGGTCCAGGAGCCATCCTGTTCACTTGCACATACAAGTACTCCCTGTGGAACTGGGCCTGTCTTCTCCATTCCGACCGTATGATTTTGAGGATACTTATTGTATGTTCGATAGAAGTGTTGATGATCCCGAAGTTCATGCAAAGAGGATGCGGCCGAAACTCGCCCCATATGCAAATGGAAAGCTTGCGAGCCTGGCATGTTGCATGGGCAGGGCTGAGGGATGAAGAAAACATAAATAAGAGCCCAATGTTCTAGAAATGTAGTAAAGAATCGTTGCTTTTCAACATATCCTTTCAGCATATGTAATAGCGCATAAAACTAGAAAAGACAGCATAAGGACACAAACGTCGCCGAGTCCTCACATTCGGCACAGTCGTCGAAAAACCATGCGGTGGAAGCCAGAGCCACTCGTTTATTTTGTGTGAGTTAGTGGTTGGTACTAGCATTCGCATCTCTGACTTTGCGTGCGTTAAGCCTTTTTCGTGCTTGCCCACCCGTCCATCGATTGTTCAACTTGCTCAGCACGGGAATCCCACTTCCTGCACCTCTTCTGCTGCCTTTCAGCGATGACATCATCAAAACATGGACACCTCTGACCTTAATCTCTTCTTTCTTGTCCAGAGCCCAGTGACCTTTTCGCTTCTCCTAAGGCCCCTTTTGCACGACACATTTCACATTCTTTTAAGGGACACTATAGGGAACTTATAAGTCGACGTTGATTGTTGAAATAGTGGTCCAGAAACCTCGTAGTATTACTTTAGTGCCAAGGAAGGGCCTATTTTGAAATAAAATTATGTTTTAGTGGTTCGCATCAGGTTAGCGCACTTCAAATTACCCCCCTCAAGAAGTGGACCAACCGGACCGTCTCACATCACTGCTGCCGTGCACAACGTTGTCCGGTTTTACTGCCCTAGTAGCAGCAGACCAAAAGCTTCAGGAGCTACATCGAAATCGGCCATTGATCGATTTTTCACCATTTGCTCTAAGATTGCAGACGTTTTTTGTTCAACTGGGCCCTGCTAGATGGTACCACCTGTCCAGTGTAACTGCGCGAAAATTGAATTTTTGAACCACTCTCGCCATTCTCCATAGTAACGTCCAGCGGTTCTTTTTTCCATGAATCAAACAGAAACGATTATGCAGCATTTTATTGTGTCTCTTGATGCACAAAACGTTTTTTATTTAGTGCAGCTAGATCGATTACTAATGATTAATTGTAGGCGGTCCATCTAATGTCATCGGGATTATTGTGAGAATGTCTTACTGCGGCATGTGCGTTCTTGTGCATTTACCTTAATTTCTCGATAAGTAAGGCACTGTTATTGATAGTAATGTTGTTTTAGATGTTGTCATACATTGAGCTTTCATTATAATGCAAATTTTTATTTGACTTTAGTGTCCCTTTAAGTCGAACAACGTTAGATAGAGTGCCCACAGCAACCTCGGGACAACATGCCTTGACTGTGACCGACGCTAACTCTCGGCCTTGAGAGTCTACGACGCTGATAGCGTACGCATTTCTGCGTGGATACTTAGACGCGTTGGTATATAGCCGTCCGTATCTTGCTTGAACTTTTGTTGAGCAGCCTCAGCTCTAGCCTTTCGTCTATCTTTGTGGAATGCCACGTGTATGTTCCATGAAATAGGCGCGATGAACAGGGACTCTCGAACGTCCACCGGGATGCGCTTTTTCCGGTCTGCATCCACAATGTATGAATCGCTGTAGTTGAGATACCGAAGCAACGACCTCCCAGTGGGCGTGAGCTTGAGTCGTGCCAGCTTGCTGTTCTTATGAGCCTCGATAAGCTCTTGTCACGTGATGTGGACGCCCATGTTAAGATGTCGTAAAGTAGCAGCCATGGGTGGTAGTCCCAAGGTGGCTTTGGCTACCTTACTTATCATAATACTCGGTTTTTCTATCATGTATGCACACCCCCCACAAAAAGAAAAGAACAATGCACCTGTTTTTTTTTGTCATCCCTACTCTTTCGAAAAAGTTTTACGGATCTTTCTGAATTTCAAGGTCACGAGCTTAGCAGATCCACATTTGGAATTTGCTTAGTATGCAAAAAGACTTGACATGTTAAGATTGAGGCTCTTCGAGATAAGAGACCAGCAGGTGGGGAGCGCAAGGCCAAGAAACAAGCCATGAAGCCAGCTGCTAAGCCACGCAAGAACAAGTGACACAAGCCAGGTCAAGACAGCCTAGCCATTGCGAGAAACATGAAAGCGGAAAAAGCACAACAGGCTGTCGGTGCCTTCTGCTGTGGCAACCACGTCTACAGTAAGCTTGAACTGACTGACTCGTCAGCTGGTACAGATGCATGGCTCAAGGTTGAAAAGAAGAAGGAGGAGGTTGTTCGGCAACTAGAGTTGATGGCAGGAACGGTGAAGCACCTTCAAGAATGTGAAATGTAGCGCTCATCTGTCTCTTTCCTGTCTTGGTTTTTGTGCACTGCACGCTAAAAAAGTTATATCATGAATCAATACCAACTAGCCCAGCTATCTGTTTTACTGCAATTGGAATTGTGCCATGCAAAAGGGGCTCAGGAGAAGCGGAAAGGTCACTGGTCCCTGGACAGGAAAGAAGAGATCGAGGTCAGAGGTGACCATAATTTAATGATGTCATCTCTGAAACGGTGCGAAAAGAGGCAGCAAAAGAGGCACAAAAAGTGGGATTCACGCACTGAGCATGCCAAACAACGTCAGATAGAGAGCCAGCAGAAACGTCGGGACAACATCAAGGCACGCAGAAAAGTGAAACCTCAGACAAATATGAAGATTTTTAAGAAGGACCGCATCTTTTCAATATTCTGGGAAGATATTGCTGTTTTGGTCGCTGCTAAAATACGAGACTTGAAAAAAAAAATAATGAGGTGGGGAGTGTGATATCACAAGCCCATCGACCATTTTACAAAATAAGAAGGGTCGGATGTGAGCCTGCACTTAATTTGGCAGCCTTGTGCTCCATGTTGAGTTTGTCAAGACATGGTTTCATAGTGTTGTTTCTAGGTGTGCGTGCACCACGGCTGTATTGATGCCATAGCTCCTGTTTAATAAAGTCGTTTTTGCAATATTATCGCCTTGTCTACGTCGCCAAGTCCTTACAGTGCTGACCAGCAAAGCCGCTTCGCATTATTGCGTGTTTTGAAATTTTTAACATAGTCCTGAAGCATTCCGAGTGAAGCAGCCCAAGAGTGCTTAGCGAACACAAGTGAGAAAAGATCTGGCATCCGCACCTGCACACACAGTGCAAGTTTCACAGGCGGTCCCACAGTGAGAATTACAGGAGGGCTCGTGTGACTTTGATGCACTTGAAGGTCACATATTCTCTCCTCTTTCTCATTACCCTCTCCCCCCATCTAGGGTAGCAAACTGGACTCTCCCTACCTTTCTGATATTCTTTCTCTCTCTGGCATCTGCAGCTGTTTCTTTGTAAGGCCTATTGTTCTATTAGTAGCAGCTGGCTGGTTTCCCAGATATTGTCCAAAAATCAGCTTTATGGGGTTTATATCTGAATGTTGTACAAATATTTTTTAACATTGACTAGCTGGTTCTTGGTACGAATTATATATCAGCAATAATGAAAATAGGACTTTTGGTCAGGAAAAAAAAAATAGAGCACCACACTGCTCACCTCCATGACAATATAGAGACAGCCATTGTGAAAATTTGGCTTTCTCGTGTGTACATCATGTTTTTAAGAGGCATTATACAAAGTCTGTTATGGCTGTGTCATTTTTTACAGCTTCAAGATGCTCAAGTGGTGGGCGCAGTCTTTTCTCGTGGGTATTCCACGTGTGCTGTGCGGCTTCCGGGATGACCATGGTGTTGTAGGCACCCTCGAAGAGATTGACGTTCGAGAGATGACCCACAGAGCGAAGGTTCGTGGTAATTTCACCGCAAAGATTTTTTATGAAATTGAGCACATTTCGTGCATTTCTTCTTTGGTGGTGGTGAGGGTTTCTAGGGACAGAACAGCAACATGAGGATATGGACGACTTCTCCGAATCAGACGTTCAGCTGAGAACTGCCGCGAACACTGCTCTGCCTCAGAATGTTGGCACTGCGCTTTTCGATCCAGTGTACTCTTTCTTGTTGTCTTCTACAGCGATCACGTAGTTTCGGCTTCGTTTTCGACCCCATATCCCAACACCACCGGTTTTAAAAAGTTAACATTTCTGCTGGCTTGACAGAATGAAACACTGTCAGAGAGTTATGAAGAAGTCACTGCAGGTCCAGTTGGCCCTCTGCACAACCACCGAACAATGCGAATTGGGATTACATATCCACGTATAAGAGCAAACCTGATGTTAACACAGCACTCACTTGTGCATGAGAATTAATCAGCTCAAATATTCTATGACATTCTCACATGTTTGTTGAACAATTCTGTTGTGTCACGCAGGCCTCTCCGTCAACCTGCCGCAGACTTCGCCGAGCTTTAGCCCTATGCAACAGATTCCTCGCAGATAATCTTTTAACAATGCTCGCACTTCTGAACATTGTTCCTTGCTTAACTCTTCAGACACCTTCACATCAGTGGCCCTGTGTGCACAGAGAAGACTCTGCGGGTGAATGTCGTGCGGAACATTATCACTAAATGACTGTTAGTCTAGCTTCAAACGATCTTCGGGGACCTTGGTGTTCACAGAGATCTGCTGCAGCGGTTTCGCACCCTTCGTATTTGTGTAACATATAGAGATGAAAAATCTTCCTTTTGCTACTTAGTTTCAAAGCATAGTCAACATAATTTTTATGTCTGACTACTTCAAATGAGTCTTTTCACTTGTCATCAGTAAAAGAGAGGCACTAGGTGCGTGCCGAACACGGAAGCGCAGCGACGGTGCATGAGGAAAGAAGAGTCACCCGAATGCACGTGCACCAGCCACATAGACGGAAGAGATTGGTCTGAGAAAAGCTTCTGCCCTGAGCCGAGAAAAAAAATCCCAGAGGATGATTTGGCACGAAGTGTTGGGATTCCGAGCTACGAAGACGTGGGAAATGAGCATCGCTACCGCTACGGAAGCAGTAGAACCGCCCTGTTTTGAGGATGTTGGCAAAAAGGTTCGAGGAGTGGTCGTCAATATCGGAAGAATCGAGTGAGGCTGCCTGGACTTGTCGCAACCTGTCACAGCAGTTCTTAGGTGGGCTACAACTCCTCCACTTCAAAAGAAAATGTATGAGGCATGCACCACAGTCAAGACGTCGTTGACAAGTTAGGCGTGGCCTAGCAAAGCCAAAGTATACGACGAAGACTAGACCCAACCAGCAATGAAGTGGAGTGGCTCATTCCGCGAAATAGTACGACGATGGTAGGAATTTGGGGAAGACATTGACGACATAAGTGACACACCATAGACACAGCAAGGGGCAATGAGTCACAACGCAACAAGCCATAAGAACGTTCCACAGTTGACACCATATCGGCTTAGGGCTAGTGGCTAGGGCTAGGGATGGATTGGGACTGAGCCACAGTCAGTTTGGTATGAATATGTACAGAGTGTTTTTGGAGTAATTCTGTGTACTCGCGAGTGTTTAGTTTTCGATTGCTGACTTCTTTTGTCATTGTTTGTGTTTGGTGTCATAAAGTGTGTTTATGTGCCAGGTCCCTCTCTTGTCTGTCCCAAATCCCTCCTTTGCAAGTGCTCCCGAGATAAATTGTGACAATAATTGGCTAGCCTTTGCCAGGATTTTTCTCTTGTGCAGCCCAGTCACATTATCGTCGGAGTCGGAGGTTGCATGATAGATTACGAGAAGTTTACGCCAATGAACAAAGACGTGGGGATGACCAAGAAGGAGACAATTAATTTCTTCGAGAATGTGCAGAAAGAACACGAATGGGACTATGAACGGATGCTAAACAGCACGAGCGCGAGAAGGAAGTTCTCGAGCTCAAGTTGAGGCTAGTGCAGATAAGTGCGAGCCACGGAGCAAGGAAGACTGGAGGAGAAACTTCGGGCCAGCGCCAGCTCGAGCGCCCCGCGATAACGTCACCCATGGAGAGTAGCTTGGCGAACGTGCGTGCAGTGATCCTTGTGGTGATGCACAGAACTGTTTGTTTTCTGCCGCAAAAGAAGATTGCGCGCACTCGCGGTTTCCGACGGTGCTCAAGTGTCATCTGCTACATCTGCCACTCGCCGATTCTACTTAGGGCCAGCATCTTTCTTTATTTAAATCGGATGCTTTTCAGACAACCAAAGGAATGAAGTGGTAGAATTAAAAAAGCAAATGATCTGCAATTGTAGCTAGGCGTATGCCTAAAATTACTCATTATGTAGCTTGAGGATAGATAATGCACATTCTTTCATATAACAGTGCATTACAGAACTGCTGCACACAAAATAAAGACAGACATTGATGAAGCATGTTTGAGCAGATGGCAATTAATTCAACAGAAGAGCGGAGACTGCCTCGAGCTGTGAATAAATACTGCGTAAAAAAAGCTTGATCTTATAACGCTCCGCCTGACCTAGAACAGTAGCAAGAATGGGCGACGGCTATATGAAGAGGAGATCGACAATGGAAAGGAAGCGACTGCATCTAAGAAAATCCCAGACATTTCCCAGGCATCTAAAAAATTTTTGTAATATTGAGGGTTGAGTACTGTGTGCAGTTGTTCTTGTAAGTGTATCCTTGTAGTGTGAAATAAGGAACTTGTGGACATGTGAACGGTGAAGTGTAGTGGTTGACGTGTGTGATGGTGTGGTGTTGTGCCAAGTGAAGATCAGTGAAAACATGCGGTGAAGGAATGTGATGTGCCAGCCTATGCGCAATCAGTCACAAGAGATAACAGCGAGAGAAGAGGAGACTGAAATCACAGGAAGGGAGAACATAAATACGCAGTTTTTTCAGAAACAACTCTTTAAAAAGGGGCCCAGTTGGATGAGTAAAGGAGAGGCACGAGGCACGTGCGGTATGCAGAAGCACGGCCATGGTGGATGAGGAGAAAAAAGTCAACCGAGTGCACTCGCATTAGCCACATAGACACAAAATATTAGTCGGAGAAAGGCTCATGGCACACGACCTGAGCCGAGAAAGAAAATCCCAGAGGAATAGTTGGCACTGGGTGTTGGGATGCCGAGCTGCAAACACGTGCGAAACGAGCTTCACTAGCGCCACAGAATCAGTAAAACTGCCCGGTTTTTAGGATGTCGACAAAGAAGTTCGGGGAGTGGCCATTGATATCGGAAAAAATTGAGCGAGGCTGCCCGAACTTGCCGCAACCTGTCACAGCAGTTCCTGGGTGGACTACAGCTCCTCCGCTTCGAAACAGACCGTATGCAGCCAGCACTATAGTCGGGACGCCGTTAACAAGTTAGGCATAGCCTAATGAAGCTGAAAGATATGACGAAAACTGGAACCAACTGGCAATGAGGTCGAGTGGCTCGTTCGACGAAAGAGGACGACGGCGTTGGAAACTTGGGGAAGACGTCGAAAACAGAAGCGACGCACCGTCAACACAGCAAGGGGCATTGAGTCAAAACACGACAAGCTGAAGAACATTCCTTAGTTGACGCCATACTGGCTTAGGACTAGTAGTTAGAGCCAGCGATGGACTGGGACTGAGCCATAGTCAGTTTTGGTTTGACTATGTACGGGATGTTTTTGGAGTAATTCTGTGTACTCGCGAGTGTTTCCAATTTCTGGCTTCGTTTGTCATTGTTTGTGTTTGGTGTCATAAAGTGTGTTTATGTGCCAGGTCCGTCTGTTGTCTGTCCCAAATCTAACCTTCGCAAGTGCTCCCGAGATAAATTGTGAGACCATTGCATTAGCCGTTTGTGTCAGCAGGCAGTAATATTAGCACTTTTTCATCTACATTTAATTTTCACTCATGCATCTTCCGGTCGTAGTACATTCTTGGCATTCCTTCCGCCTTCTCTAGCTCTTCATCTTGGGAATTCTTGTTCATAACTTCAAGGTGCTTTCGAAGATCCACAAGGTATGTGCAAGTAGTGCAAGTTTCACTTTTGAGAACCTTCAGAGTTCCTTGAGCACCGTTAGTGGTTATCTGACATATCGACCATAAATCAGCTAGAATGGTGAGAATCTCAAGGTAGCTTACGACAGTTCCCTGTAGGTGAAAAGCAACAGTGCCAGAAATTTGTCCCAGGTTCTTGATTTTCCCTGGCAAATCCACTTCATCATTCTCTTTTGAGTGCCATTAAAATTTTCTACTTGCCCATTGGTCATGGCATGGCTCGGTGTTCTTACATATGTGGCGGCTAGTAACTGACCAATCTCTTTCATGAGCTCCGATGTCAAGTTCGTTCCTTGGTCCGTTACAATCTCTTTTTGTCGCCCCACGCGAGAAAACATCTCGTGTGGGGCCACAGAAAGATATTGTTACGGACCGCAGGACGAGCTTTTAGTGCTTATGAGTGATTCGGCCACATGTACAGTAGAACCCCGTTCATACGCGTATACTCATCTGATGTTCATTGCCGTTCCATTCCTATTAAAATTATTATTGATATTTTCTCATTCTTATTCCTATTAGGATTTGTATAATAATTGACATTTAGTTCATGTTATTGTTGGTATGGAAAGTGTACCAATTCATGTATGTATTCCCTTTATGTTCCCCTTACACAATGCCCTGTTGGGTCTGTAAGGTATTTTGAATAAATAAATAAATAAATAAATATGTTTTTTAGCAGACCAGGAAAAAAACGTAACAGCCGGGAAAACACTAGACTAAGGAAAGCTCCAAAAATGAATAAAAACAGGGCCACGTTGAGTTCAAGCAATTTATTTCAACAACCTTTAAAAAATCTAGCATGGTTGACTGCTGCTTCGTACGTTTGCTGAAGAATACCATGCACTTTTCAATAACGTGTTGAAACGCTCCATTACTCTTAGCGCCGCTTTAAATACCCGCGGA